TTATTTATTTAATTAATAATTTAATTAAATTTTTATATTTTTATTAGGAACAGCAGCTTAATCACATATGATGACTGTTTTTTGAATGTAGACATTGTGAACAGCAGCCTAATGGACAAACCGGTTTTATTCGGACTGGTCGCAATCGAAGGATACCGATGACATTATGTAATAAAAGTGTTTTTAGATTTGTGATTGGACTTTTAAATTCCGAGTAATTTTAATCTAAAGTTTGAAGATGTGAAAACTCGAGATACAGCTAGTGGTAGCGTCGTGAATTTGACAGCGACATGAACATATACACGCATCAATCAAGTCAAGCGATCATGTCAAGCAGTCAAACGGTTATATTTTTATTTTATGCACTTGGCGTCGCGACGCTACCGCGTCGCTTGATTATCTTGTTTAATTAAATCAGTTTTTGAGTAAAGAACCCTCAAAACTAAATCACATACTTATACCTAATGAAAAGGTAACTGATTGTTATTTTGTTACACTATTTTACTGATCCATAAAAATAACGCGTTATATTCCTTAAAAAAAGTAATATATACTCATATTATATACATATATAATATAATTTATTCATTTTAATGCTAAAACTAGATTAGATGTTCAGATAGAAGAAGTAAATAAATTATTTATTTTTATATTATTTTTTTTGTCAAAATTGTAATAAAAGCAATAAAATTTAATTTACTTTATTCTTTCTTAATTAATAATAAAAATATTATATTGGCATGTTCTATATCGGTATTCATTAGTTAAAATTATATTGATTAATTTTTTTTCAGAAAGAATTAATTAACTTAAAAAAAGTAAATAAAATTAGTGTAATAAATTTTAATATTTGCTAACACGCATTTTACTTTCAATTCGAACTTGTAATTCAAATTTTTTTTTTATTTCCATCGCATATTATATTCGCTGATAGTCTTACTGCTATAAAAGAGGATTTGCAGTCAGTCGGGGTCGACTTGCGTTAATAAGCGGAAGTGTTCGATTGTTGTCTACGTTAATGGAATAAGGGCGAATACTTTGAGAAGTATGTGATACTATATAGTGATAAGACGATAAAGATCGAGATAACGGTAATTTCATAATGGCGATGATCAAGATTTATTGATCTATATAGTATATCTACACGATTTACACTACATGGATTATACATCCAAGAATGACACATTAAATTGTTAAAATGAATTATAAATTCAAATTGAAATGTGACTTTTAATAATGAACATTTTGAAATCATTTTGACATTTGTAGTTTGATGTTATCGTGACTTTTTGTTCTACTTAGATATATAAAGCCTCTATAATCTATCTATACTATGCATATATATATATATATACAATTAATGTGCTCTTTGTATTTAATAATTGTTTCTTGCTTTCTGCCTCTTTCTTCTTTCCTTGTTGCAACGATCACGTTTTATCGACAATCGCGTTTCTTAATAATTATAATATTTTTTATTTTACAACAGAAAACAATTAAAGAAACAGGATGAAGAGTAGAGAAAGTGAAAAATTGAAAAAAACTGCAAAAAGCAGAGAGTCATTGTAATATTTGTATATATATAAGCGACTTTTCAATTCATTTTTAATTTTTCAATCGTACATTATACACAAATGAAATTTAATGTGTTTCGTAAAAGCTGCACTTGCGCTTAATGTGATTAATCCGCAATCGAATTTAAAAACTTGTCTTATCTTGTACCATAAAAGATGCATATACGCATTGTGTGATATACAGCCCCATGTATTGTTATGCGCCATGTGAACTTTATAGCATTAGCTTTTTTCTTTTCTTTTAGAGATAATTTTATAATGGAGTCTGTTTTCTGTGGCTGAATTAGTGTACTTTTGAAGCTATAAGTGAGACAGCTATATATGTTTGATATTCAGCGAAAGTGAGAAAAAGAGTGTAGTCTTTCTTTCTGCAGCAGTGTTGTCTAAGTTTCGTAATATTCTTAATTTATAGGTAATTGGATCTTCTGGACATATTGATTTGATCGACGTGTGTCGATGTTCATTATGTCTAATTCGATCCTTTCTCTCCGATAAGAAAAATAAAGACACTTTTCAACAAAATTAAAGGATATATATCACTAATTGTTTTACTCTGCGAAAATAGGCAAACTTCGAGATAGAATAGCTTCGTCAAAAATCGTCGTATCGAGATTTTTAAAAAAAAGTATTTTAAAGCTTGAAATCTCTACTTTTCAGAATTATACTGTAAAAACCTGATAAGTATTTCATAAAGTTATAATACATAAACATAAATGAAGATGCATCGGATCTCGAAATTTTTTACGAAATTTGCGAAGTTCCACGGAGCCAAGTAAAATTCTTCATTTATGTCTGTGTAACATTTATGAAATGTGGCGTCGAGTGACTCACCGCAGCTCACCGCTCGGTGCGATTGACTCGCGATCTGTAGACCCGAGTTCAATCCCACGTACGTGCGCCCAAACGCAATTTTTCGCGTTTAAGGTGATGCTGAACCCACCTATATTATCGATAAAACGAGCGTTTTTGACGTTTTTTTTGTTTTTGTCGAACCACTTCGCAGTAGTTTCACAGAATAAAAATTCCTTCTCCACGATTAAAATATCCGAGCTAATATAGATTTCTTTATCCATTTGACCTCAATATGGCGACCAACGCTGAAGATAAAAATGGATAAAGAAATCTGTAGTTTCATACTTTTTCCAGCTTTGGACACAATATACACCAGGGGCAGATACATATTAGCTCGGATATTTTAATCGTGGAGAAGGAATTTTTATTCTGTGAAACTACTGCAAAGAGGTTCGACAGGAACGAAAACGTCAAAAACGCTTGTTTTATTGATAATACAGGCGGGTCCAGCATTACCTTAAATGAGCCAAAAAATCGATCCACCTGGTGATCAAAAGATCTATGATCATCAGCAGCGCCGTGTTCGGATTCGGCGTTAAACTGTAGGTCCTATACATCAGTATACATATTACTTATTAGTTATGGATATTTGTCTCTAATATCCGACTGAGGTAGGATTCTGTGGATCAATATAATTACCCACAAATCCGAAAAACAATCTGATTCGAGAAACGAATATAGGCCTCGGACAAAAGAGGAAGAGGCCTATAGACGTCCTATAATGCTTCCACATAAGGAGATAATAGGAGTCATTATTTATTATATTATAACTTTATGAAATGTCAGTAATACGGTTTTTAACAGTACAGGTCTGAAAAATATAGATTTCAATCTTTAAAATTCTTAATTTTTTAAAAATCTTGATACGATGATTTTGACGAAACTATTCTATCTCGAAATTTGCCTATTTTTGCAGGGTGGAACATCCTTTAATTAATTTTGTTGAGAAATGTAGTGTATAAATAATAAATATCAGTATACGCATGCAGTAGTATACGTAAAATCAATTATACAGTTAATTGAAATTACGTATTGCGAAGTATAATATATATTTAAAAAATTATCATAATTATATATAATTTAATAGAGCAATGTGCGTCAGCTTATTAAGAATCTGATTTCTTAATTGCGATTATTTTTAACGAAGTTAGCAATTAAAATCAAAATGTTTCTGTACTTAATTCGTAAATATAATTCAGGAACAAAAATCGTAGAAACATTTTTTAAAAACAAATTTTTAGAAAAATCTTTAAGTTTTCACGTTCGACAGTCGAAAATTTTCGCAAATTCTTTTTTGGCGCATGACAGACTCACAAAATGAGAAGAAAAATTTTCCTTTTTTTCGGGAAATTGCTTGTAATTTTTTATATATGTAAAAGTTATCAAATTCATACGAGCTAAAAAATTATAAAATTATTTTGAAAGTGAATTTTAAAAATATAAGTTAATAACAAGGCTCAATATAAATTTAGAAAATAATTAAAACAACAGGGCTACGAGCCAACATTCGTTAAATAGTAAAAGAATTAGTAAATAAAAGATGTCATTAGTTAAAAATATAAATATAAAGTTTAATAAAATAAAAAATTTAAAGAACAGACGTTTCGACCTTTATTAGAGGTCATTTTCAATGTTAAGTCGCAATATCGTTAACGATGTACAGACAAAGAAATTATAAAAATTCACGAATACATAAGTAAAAATATTAATAAAAAACGAAAAATAAGCATATACGTTCTGTGATGTGAGTATTATTAATCTCACTCGCTATTGAAGACATATCGTATCGGAGTAAAATTATACACAAGGTAATTAATTATCTTTTAATTTAATTGTTACTAAATTAACAAAATAGATATGAGTTACTTACGTTATTTTGTAGTCTTACATTATATCCATTTCAATTTATTGCCTTGTGATTTGACTCTTTTACTGATCAATTGACTCTTATATTATATTCTTTTTGTTATATTCTTTTTTTATTATTTTTATCTATTACTGACATTGTTTTATTATGTTACTATTTGATTTAGAAATGTGAAGTTTCACAATTTACAATATTTGATGTCTTGCGTTGTCGATGGACTCTTGCCATTTTACTCCGATCTTCTATTTTAAATTTTTTATTTTATTAAACTTTATATTTATATTTTTAACTAATGACATCTTTTATTTACTAATTCTTTTACTATTTAACGAATGTTGGCTCGTAGCCCTGTTGTTTTAATTATTTTCTAAATATTTTAAGTTTTAAAACCTTTTTTTATCAATTTTATTCATTTTTGACGAAGATATTGTATAATATATATAGTTTTGAGCTAACAAAAACCATAACTTTTCCTCCAACCTAATATTTTAGTAGATAAAACGCTCATAATATGATAAATCGTTAGGTTGATTATATCGTTCAGTCATAATAGTAATAATATTGTATTATGCGTTTTTATAACGTTATTATACTGCAGTTTTTATTATAATATAATGTATCGTTCTATTGTTGCCGGTACTCATTCATTGCGCAGATTTTGTACATGGCAAAAAAGCTGCGCAATGAAAATCTAACGTAACGACATCGTGTCGTTAAAAGAGTCACAGAATAGCATTAGCCTAACCTAACCCCTAACCTATCTTACTTCAAATGCTTGTGTATCATAAACAAAGCGATGATTATATTTAAATAGTGAATTTTACAATATAAAAAATTTCAAAGAATCAATGGAAGTGAATTATCGAAATGTTATCACCGCGCATGCTTATATCACACATTCGGTCGATACGGCAGATTACTTAACCTTAATATATATCGCTTTTATAGTAATTGTACAGTTTTTTGTGGCGGTGAACATTTTTATTATCGCTTTATTATACTTATTCTACGTGTTATGGCACAAGCTCAGAGAAAATTTTAGAAAATTGAAATTGGTGAGACGAAATAAATATATATAGTTAGGGACTTTATTGAAAAATACTTATTTTTATCAATTAGCCACTTGAATTAAATTGAAGTTACATCATTTTGAATGATTATTAACATTAAGGTCATTAACATTATTTATGCAGATTATTTAACGGGATGCTCGTAACTAGAAGAAAGTCATATTAATATATATAATTCTTTAAACAAAAACACAACTTAAAATTAATTAACGAATCCACTAAGAATTTCCAAATCCAATAAGAATGCTGTCAAAACTAATGGGAATAATGGATTACTTAAAGGACCCTCAATTAGTTGCATCGATTCAACGATTTTTTGGTGTTAAAATATATTACAATAGGCATAAAGATACATTCCAAGAAGAGGAGAAAAAATATACAAAAATTGATGATAATGAAGACAGTTATATTTCAACTTGCCATAGTGAAAAGATTAATGATTGTGATGTAAACCAACGATTGAATGTATGTACAAAGCAAATTAATTCTTTGGAACAAAGAACAACTGAAACAACAAACAAAGAAACTTTGATAGTTTCAAATAATCCAAACTATACAATCACTAATTTATTTTGGTATTATACATTTGTGTTTGGAACTGAGTTAGGAGACGAGATCTTCTATTCAACTTTTATACCTTTCATGTTTTGGAATATTGATGGAGCTGTTGGCCAAAGAGTAGTCTTAGTATGGGGCATTATTATGACTATTGGTACAATGAATTAATAATAAAAAAAGAATAATAAACATGTATACATTAGTTTCTTGTAATTTATCTTTAAATTTGTATTATTTACCTACAGGACAAATACTAAAAGATGTAATACGTTGGCCTAGACCAGCGTGTCCTCCAGTAGTTAGATTACAAGATAAATGGTCACAAGAATATGGAATGCCATCTACTCATGCCATGGTTGGTTTGACAATACCCTTTAGCGTAGTATTATTTACGATGGATAAATATATTTATCCATTTTCTGTCGGTTGCATTATTGCATCTCTTTGGTAAGTAATATATTGTAATTGGGGTTCAATTGCTATGTTACAATATTTGCTTTCTGGCTCCTTGTATTAATGTAAATTGAACTCTGCAACATGCAAGACTTTTCTAGGTGTACAATTGTCAGTACGAGCAGATTGTATCTAGGTATGCATACTGTGCTAGATATTGTGGCCGGTTTAGCATTAGCGATTGTGTTAATGATTCCATTGGTACCTTTAGTGGATATAACAAGTTCTTATATTATTACAAATTTTTGGCTTGTAGCGATGCTGATTGCAATCAGTATTGCCATTACCATATATTATCCATCAAGCTATAAATGGACACCCACTAGGTAGATAATGTCAATATTATAATAAATATCACGCTTACACACACAATTTGGCTTTAAAAACCTTATATCTATACGAGTAACATTTTTATATCTTTCAGAAGCGACACTGCCATGGTTGTATCAGTCACAGTAGGAATTTATGCAGGAACATGGCTCAATTATTATACTGGTCTGTTAAGGACACCGCAAGTTTTGCCACCATTTCATATTGGTTGGCCAACATACTCTATGCTCAGTCATCTAATTATTAGAACTGTACTTGGCTTTTCCGGCGTTATTGTAACGAAAATCTTTTGCAAATCATTCAGTTATATTATAATTTGTAGCATATTACAAATTAATTGGAGAGAACTTATGAAATGTCTGGATTACAATAGTAACCAAAACAAGGTGTTTGTCGATCTAGTCTATAAATATCTATTTTGTTTCATGTTAGGTGTAAATACAGTGTATTTGTTTCCACAAGTTTTTAACATAATAGGTATCGGACGACCAGCATTTTACATGGAAGTATGAAAAAATTAGCATGCAATTTGTTGATAAATTTATATTACTCTATGAAATATATTTAAATTTTATTTGTTTATTGAACTTTTATAATTCTAGAAAGATAATTTATCTTCACTTTTTCAGGTACATTTCTTAAGCTTTATATAATTGTGATATAGAACATATTCCTTTTTTTTTTTTTTTTTTAATGGAGTAAAGAACAACAAAATATAATGAAATAGTTTTTAATTAAATTTCTTTTAAAACGATAGACAGTAAATAGAATTATAACTTAATATTAATTTTATTTTTATTCTGTTGATATGTCTATTCGTAACATCTGAAAACAAAGAAAAAATATATTATAGGCAATTGTTGTCTATAGGTAATATCTAATTTAAAAAAATATACAGATTCTTACCCCAATGTTGTAATCGAAAAAAGCTTTCGCATTATCTGCTTTTAGTGTATAAGGCAGTAAAGTGTCATATGAATAACAAGCTTTCTCATCTGTTACATTTATACGATCAGAGTTGATCAATACTACTACATCATCGACTGAAACCTACAAGTGATAATGCATATTTATCTTATCTGACTGAATATTATAAAGACTCTATATGATAAATCCATTTAATAATTTTGTGACTAACACTTTTTCGCATATCAAATAAAGCGATTATATGCTCAATTGGGCCTTTCGCTGGTTTCCTTAAAATTACACAACCTGTTTTTATTTCCTTGTCAGCTGATAGATTAGTTTTACTACTGATAGGCTTCGTAGAATGTGAAATTTCCTCGATCAATGATTTGTGACCCTGTGGCTTTTTAGGTTTACGATTTTCTATTCTATGTTGCTGAAGTTTTCCCATTACCTAGAATAATATGTAATTAGAAATATGCTTATGAAATAATATGCGAATATAATTACACTAAGGAGTATATGTTTTAACAGATACTTATTTTATTTTTTATATACATATATGTACTTACTGTACGATTTTTAAGAATAACATAATTTTCTGTATCAATCTCTTTTTGAAATTTTTCTGTCACGCCACTCAATATAACTAATGCTGTAAATGCCATAAAATGTTTCTTTTCTCTACATTTCTTGAGGTATGTGGTATTTATCATGACATCATATGTTGCACTAGGTGTTCCAGCTGTAAAAGAAAAAAAAAACAATATTTTATGATTGACAATTGTATACAGTGCAGTATCACTACTTTAACACTAACAGACAAGTAAAAGATTTTTATTTACATCTATCTGCTTCTATTCTTTCAAAACCAATACTCATTGGTATGACATAAGCAGGTACTTCATCATGTTCGTTTATAAGTTCAAGTAATTTAGTATCAGATATATCCTCTGGTGGTGGAATTTTATCTGATGTACATATATTGACGAAAACTTTTTCTCCATTAACGGTTCGTGTTTTCATACAGATGCCTATAATATTATAATATGAGAAAAAAATCTCTTTAAAAAAAATAATATACAACTTATTTGTATAACAAACAACATGCAAAATATATTATACAGACCAGGAGTGGGTTGTACAAGGATAGATGGTGTTGAATCATATTGTTCCATTAACTTGTCCATCTGACTCAAAGCATCCTTATCTTCATTCTATCAGAGAAACATTGAATACTTTTATTATCATTCATTTATATATGTAAAATACATCAATAATATATCAGGGGACATGGTAGTGTTTCGGCGCTAACATACTATTTATTATACTTACAAGTAATAATAAATTGTTAGCCTTAATACAGTCATCAACTTCGAGAAAAGTGGCATCACCCATAATTGCGACAAATTCAATTTAATTTAAAAATAAAAATGTACTCAGATTCACTTTTTTATCAGCACTTTCGATAACTTAAATACTAAGACTTAAATGTTATAACACGTACGTCATCAATTAAACAACTAAAATAACAATCTAGTTCAGTACGATAACCATGCCATGCCGGTCTTTTCTGTTTCCCTGAAAGAGAAATCCAGAGAAATCTGAAAGAGGAGTAGAGGTAGAGAACATGAAGTGATGAGGGCTTTTTTTCCTGTAATCGCAAAATCCTTTGTGCACTACTGCCCTCTGAAGAAATGATGTGAGATGTCAACTATACAACAATATCCACGCGCATGCGCGTTAAGAACAGTATAATTATGATTATATCCTCATCAAATTACAACTGAAATGTAATATATGTATATATATTTTTTCTGAAGAGTTTATAAAGAAAAGTTGAAAAATATTTACATATTTGAATTGTAAAATTTTTTATAATTGTTTTAAAGACTTCCTCAACCACAATAATGATTTTATTATAAAAATACATTTTGCCAGAAAAAACTGGACAGGAAACACCAAAAACATTTTATTGGTAATACAGAATGACATTTTAAAAGATATCATTTAGATACACAGATAACTTTATTTTATCTGTACGTTTGTTTTGAAAGATATTTAAATGTAATACATGGATAACTTGATTTTATATCTGTGTATAAAAAGTTACAGAAGATATGTTAAAAATGCTGTAGAATAAATCGATTCGACAAAGACATCATGGATCTGAGGGTGCTTATAATTGCATCGCAATATATATATATCTATATAGATATACTATGTATTTGTAGTTTTTTAAGTGTACGATAGATGGCCAGAGGAGTTACAATAATCTTGTATTTAATTTTCGACTGGCGAGGTTTATAAGACGCAGCGTGTGACGGGTGAAGCAAAAAGGGTACTCGCTACTTCAATAGCGCGTCATGTCGATTTAACGTCGGCATGGTGGGGTATGGCTATCAAGGCATACCCAGTACGTAATTTTTGGTATCGCGAGGCTGTTGGCTGTCAATATGCACCGACGCCTCCATCTTAATTTTCTTATAAATGAGTAAATGATAGGGAAATAATTATCAGTGTTTCAATAACTCGTTCAATCTCGAATTACTCAATTATTCGCTTTTTAAAATATTATTGTTGTGTTAATAATTGAATAAATGCAGTGAAATATAGAGGGGATGTTCAGAATTTAAATGTCAAAACTTCGAGAGCGTGTAGGGAATCGATAAACTAAGAAAAAAAGTCTTGTACTAACTAAATTAGTTAAAAATTATCAATACGTCAATGCTCTATATTTAAAGCTTTTAAGTCATATTTTGATTTCATTATTCCGTTTCCGTTTCAAGTTTTTTTTCTTTGTGTTTTCGACCATTAAAACTCTCCATTATAAATTCTGTCAAAGTTTCATTTTTATTTTTTAGTATAAAAACCAAATTTTTATCTATGGTTTTATGTACATTAAAATAAGTTTTTAAATATATATTATCTTTTAAACATATATTCTTTATGCTCTGAATAATATTATCATTTCATTCTATTACATATAGACATATATATTAGCTATTAGAGGAACTTTGCAAACAATTGGAAGAGGAATTCCACACTACACTAAAAAATCAATATGACAACTGCTAAAGGAGATAAGAGAAAAGAAAATGAAGAATCAAACGAAAAAAAGTTAAATAGAGATAATCTGTTATCAAAATATAGCTGCAAGCATCGTGTATTAAAATCCATCAAGGAATTAAACATGCGGCTTTAAAGAAGAAAGACAACCAAATTGAGGAAGAAAGAAATTAGAGATAGAGAAAAGTTAAAAGATAGAAGTATAAGGCCAAGATCATGACAAAATTGGTTAAACGAAAAGAGAGTAAAACTATGAAGAAAGAGAAAGATAGGAAACAGAGAAAAATTGAAATTTACGGAGGAAAACTTAAACAACAAGCTCAAAAGCGTAGATGGACAAACAAACGCAGGACAGATATCTAAATGCGAAAGAGACTGTGAATAATTATACAAGGGTGCATGTATATAAAAACATCTAACAGTTTTCTTTTTTTTTTTTTTTCTAAGAGATGCACATAAAATGTATTCGAATTTTACTGTCTAGAGAATAAGTGCGAGTTTCTAGCGTGCAAAATTAATGACTCATCCGCCTTATTATTATCCCGATCTTTCACATTATGACTTTTTTCTATTTCCATACATTATAAGGATAAAATACGTGGTTTGAAGTTCAATATGAACCGTCAGATATGCGGCAGTGGAGGCGTTTGAAAGAAACGTTCTGATCTGCCTCCAGAAAGATGGTCAAAATGCTTTGACGAGTGGTTTTATCAAACGGAAAAGTGTTTTCACTGTAAACGGATCCGAGAGTATTTTAAGAAAGAATAAAATCAATTTCAGAAATTAATTATATACGTTTATGTACGTATTAAAATGGATAGTATTTAATTTTTTAATAAATTAATTTTTATCAATATCCTTTCTTGTTCATATGTTTAATACGTATTTTATAAATATATTGTTACTGAGTTTAATTTTTTATATTGTAACAAACCCAGTGAACAACATGTTAATTAATAATTGAAATTTTTGTCATTTTGAACATTTCATTTAATTCTATTTAACCTGCTAATATTTATCTAAAAATAATGTGCAAGTTAAATAGAATTAAATGAATTGTGTGTAACAGATTAAATGAAATGTTCAAAATGACAAAAATTTCAATTATTAATTAACATATATGTATAATGTAGCATAATTTAAAAATTAAATTAAAATCATTTTTCATAATTTTTAATTCTTTAATAATAAAAAATTGAAAATCCGTTTAATAAATTTTACTTATTAAATCTTTATAGCATACTTATTAATAATTTACATTAAAAAATTCTCTTTTTTATGTAGAAATAAACAATTAGATTTTCAATTTTTTAATTCTTTAATTTGGCAATTTTTGGATAAAATCTGATTATCTGGCTTATTCGGTTTTGGTGGATATAATTTAGTATCCGATTTTTTTTTATCCGACAAACCCCATTATCAGTTGCATTCCTAGTTATAACTTTGTTGAAAAAATATAAAAAATTTGAGGAAAACAGAGATATACCATTACCTTTTGTGATGTTCCGTTTTCTATATTTTCATTATTAACATTATAAGTAATTCTCCTTCCGTGGCGTCGAGTGGCTCACCGCTCTGTGCGATTGACTCGCGATTTGTAGACGATTGTAGACCCGAGTTCAATCCCACGTGCGCCCAAACGCGATTTTTCACGTTTAATGAGCCAAAAAATGGCTCCACCTGGTGATCAAAAGATCTATTGATCATCATCACGCCGTTTAGGCACCATGTGGTACAAAATAGGTAGTTGTTTTTTCATTTGGAAAAATACTGACTATTATTTCTGATATGTCTTTTGAAAAGGAAAAGACATATCAGAAATAATAGTCAGTATTTTTCCAAATGAAAAAACAACTACCTATTTTGTACCACATGGTGCCTAAACGGCGTGATGATGATCAATAGATCTTTTGATCACCAGGTGGAGCCATTTTTTGGCTCATTAAACGTGAAAAATCGCGTTTGGGCGCACGTGGGATTGAACTCGGGTCTACAATCGTCTACAAATCGCGAGTCAATCGCACAGAGCGGTGAGCCACTCGACGCCACGGAAGGAGAATTACTTATAATGTTAATAATGAAAATATAGAAAACGGAACATCACAAAAGGTAATGGTATATCTCTGTTTTCCTCAAATTTTTTATATTTTTTCAACAAAGTTATAACTAGAAATGCAACTGATAATGGGGTTTGTCGGATAAAAAAAAATCGGATACTAAATTATATCCACCAAAACCGAATAAGCCAGATAATCAGATTTTATCCAAAAATTGCCAAATTAAAGAATTAAAAAATTGAAAATCTAATTGTTTTTTTTTCTACATAAAAAAAGAGTTTTTTAATGTAAATTATCAATAAGTATGCTATAAAGATTTAATAAGTAAAATTTATTAAACGGATTTTCAATTTTTTATTATTAAAGAATTAAAAATTATGAAAAATGATTTTAATTTAATTTTTAAATTATGCTACATTATACATATATGTTAATTAATAATTGAAATTTTTGTCATTTTGAACATTTCATTTAATCTGTTACACACAATTCATTTAATTCTATTTAACCTGCACATTATTTTTAGATAAATATTAGCAGGTTAAATAGAATTAAATGAAATGTTTAAAATGACAAAAATTTCAATTATTAATTAACATATCATGCTTTTTATACATAAAATAATAAAGCAAATGTTCACGATGTGAAACGCGATAACAACTCTGGAGCTCCACGTTAGACTGAAATGATAAAGAAAAACTTAATTTTGTAATTTTTGTCGTTTTCAACATAGATTAATTCTACCTCGAGGCACGTATTAAATGCGTATTAATGCGTATATTTTAATCCTGGAAAAGGATTTTTGAATCTGCGAGTGACAAAAAAAAGTATTTACGATACAAAAATTATATAGTTTAGTCGGAATTTTCGACATTTCTAAAAATTCTAAGATAATTGGAAAATTTATATAATTTAATTTTAATTTATCGATTGTCGATATTAAATTCAAATAATGTCACCTACAGCGCCATCCATGGAACTGCAAGATGCACTAACTCGCAAAATGAAATTTCCATTGTTGGCGCCCAAATGATCGAGTGTCACTACGATAATACGATCCAGAAAATAAGAGAGAAGAAGAATCTTGAAGAATCTTAGAAAAATGGCTTTGTGGAATAGCGTACAGTCGGGCTTTAACGTCGATGATGAGACTGTCAATTTTGGACCACGAATAATCACGGAAAGCAATGGTTCTCTGCACGAGGCATGCACTGTAGCAACGATTCAATCGCTTGAAAAGGTTCGTATTACATCAATAATATCTCGTAATTTATCTGGTGCGACAGTTGCATCTAACTCGCAATGTTTTTCATCAACGTCAGTGTCAGCTGTTTTTTACACGATATAATTGAAAATGGGGAAAATGGGAAATTCAGCAAAATTCTTTGCTTGAAAGAATCAGTGTCGTGACAACTCGAACGAAACGGTCGTGTTTCGTGACGTTTCGGACGGGTGTCGCGTCATCTCGATTATTTTTTTTTTTTTAAAAGTGTCGCCGATTTTTCGAGCGTACATACATTTGCGTTTCTCACACACTGAAATCCTTCCATTCATTTTTACGGCTTGAAAGCGTTGTGTAGATATAGGCCAACACAAGCGCTCAGTGGCTGAAAGTCGAGTTGTATTGGAATCGTATTATCATTTTCGACCATTTTGTATCGTTAAGTCTGTTCTTTATTCTTGCATTGTGTGAACTGGTATACACGGTGCGATGAGTTGAAGTGAAACAAATATATACATTCTTTTTGCTTCAACTTATTGTACTGTCAGGAATAAAGAACACTATTCATGCGAAAGAAATTGCCTGATTTGAATTGGTTGGTATGTTGTATATATTTTTTTTTACAAGTATTTTTATTACTCTATTTTTTCGACCTTCGAAGGTCAGTTTCAGTAAAATTCGGCTGCGGGAACCAATAGTGGAGCAGGAAGAAGCTTAAAAGAAAGCACAAAGTACTAACGTATAATTTTTTAAAGCAATATCAAGCCCAAGATATCAAGTGAGAAAATATCGATAGCCATAGGCTAATAACACGGTTTCAATCTATCAGAAATCAGATATGCCGGAATATACAGTTTTTGATAGATTGAAATTGTGTTATTCCCTCGTATTGTGTCGGGGCTTCAAGTTTTTTTTTCGTTTAAATCCGTGTGAAATGCGCATGCTTGAGTTTTGTTTTGTTTTGTTAAAGCGCGCATTTTAAACATGACTTATTGCGATTTACATATTTATTATTTTAAATAGAAAGAATATACAGAACTCTTAGTATTAAAAAATTAATGAAATAAAAAGGCAATTAAGAGTCAATAAATTCACACTAAACAGTTACATGCACACAATCAAATTAAAATACAAAATATTGAAAGTAAAATGTTTTTGATTTTCAATATTTTAGTGTGAATTTATTTTATTTTAATTTATAATGTAATATTAAATGATCTATTAGATCACACTTATAGTATTGACTCTTAATTGCCTTTTTATTTCATTAATTTTTTATTTTATTATATTATATACATTATAATTATGATCATTATAAATTATGATGATTCATCATAAAAATCAATCAATACATGTCTTTTTAAGGTGGACCAACAACCAAATGTCATAGCATCTATTCAATATTCCAAGATATGTGTAGCAATTGACAAGTCTATTACAGTCTTTAACGATGAAACATGCGATGAAATATTATATAATATTAGCTTTCCCTCCATGATAGTCAGTTACTGCATTTCCAAGGATGGTTTCTATTTATTTGTAATACTCACAACCAGGATTTTGTATTGTTTGTATTTAGAAAATGCAAAAATAATTTTTACCAAGTAAATATTATTTATCTTTTATTTTTTAATAAATATTTAGTTATCTACAAAATTATTTATATAAATATAGTAGAAATATAATTCTGATTGCATAAATAACTTCTGATTATAGAACTATACCTGGATGTAATAGTAGGGATAATATAATAGAAGTATTTTTAAAAGAGCAAAGTGAAGAAGCATTTATCATTCTTGTTGCAAACACTGGAGCTATTTATAGGTATCACATTTACATACTTATATTTTATCATATCTTACTTATGAAATTTGTTTTATACAGGGTGTTTGAGAAGTAATGAAAAATTTCTTATAGGGGTGGAATGGACTAAACTGAGAAGAAAAGTCCTCTACCATTTGAGAAGTAATGAAAAATTTTGTCGCATAGGGGTAGAATGGACTAAACTGAGAGGAAAAGTCCTCTACCATTTTACAATTTTCACAATAGTTAACGAGATATTAATTTATAAAAATATCCAAATTCGCCCGGCCCATCGCCAAATGCAAGCGCGCGGCAATGGACAATGTCTAGCGACGATCATTGCCGTTTGTTATAAACAACGCGTGTCTAGCGACACACAAACGCGCGCCTCGTTGGACGGTTGTATTCAGCCGCGCGTTTGCATTTGGCGGTGAGCCGGGCAAATTTGGATATTTTTATAAATTAATATCTCGTTAAACATTGCGAAAATTGTAAAATGGTAGAGGACTTTTCCTCTCAGTTTAGTCCATTCTACCCCTATGCGACAAAATTTTTCATTACTTCTCAAATACCCTGTATATAACGAATTTAATATCTTGTATAATATCTGCTATTCTATAAATATTTTAGATTCTCCAAATTTTATCCTGAAACTTTAAAGGCTGCATTTCTCTCTGATTCAGTTGCGAAATATGGTGCAGATATTGAGTGTTCTCTTTTGTTCCCAGGATTTACTTCTCAGGAGGTAACATAAATGTATATTTTAAAGAATTTATTTAAAAAAAATGCTTTTATAAATATTCACTTTAAACAAAATTATATAAATATTATTCATTTTCCACGTCAGTTTGTAAAGAATATATTACAGTTTCTTAGCACTACAATAGATGTATCATCAGATGAACTATCGCTATCTATGGTTGGAACAAATTCAATATTTACTTGGCCTAATGAACAATACATCAATTTTCAAAATGTATTTTCTTTTGGATATAAAAAGTTAAAACCGCTACATGGCAGCAGGTAATTAAATTTAAAAAATTATTTTAAATTTATATTAGTTGTGTGTGAATTTGAATAATATAATGGTTTTGAATTTATACATATCTTAAGTTGCATAATATATAAAAATACTTTATCTTTTAGTAAAATGCTGTGTTTACGTACAGACAATATATTAAGTATGGTATGTCTGAATACATTTCTTACATTAAAAATATGTGATTTCCCAGTGTTTGATTATGATGTAATACAACATGATGATTATTCTGAAATTTTATTTTTAACGTATTCTAAGGACGATTATGCTACATATACATTACGTATTATTTCTTATCCAGGTAAATATATTATTTTCCAGATAGGTAAATGTATTTTGTAAGTGGTTCAGTTTTTATAAATTAATGAGATACTTTTGCTCTTTTAGATTTTGAACAGAAGTTAGAAATGAATGTATCTACTAATATTCATTTATTCAAGTGTTTACATACTTCTGATAACCTATTTTACATAGAAGGTATCGCTACTAACAATGAGACCGGTATTATCGATACTTTTAGAATAAAAACGATATTGAAAAGTATTCCCGAAATACGTTTAGCGAAACTATTAAAGAAAAGACAATTTGATGCAGCTGAAGCTTTTGCAGAAAAATTCAATCTTTCAATGGAATCTATTTATTATTCTAAAGCAGCATTGTTCGTAGAACAGCTTAGTCCATGGACAAAATCTACTCCTAATTCAGTCAACGTAGATACATTGATAAATATTCTAAATAAAATACAAAATGTGCAATATGTGATTGAATGTTGCAATAAAGCTCTCATTTCTGATTATATACAAATGAGACGTATATATTTATATGCTCGAGAAAGAATAATGCAAAATATTAAGGTATTTATACCGTTAATCGCTAATTTAGTGTTTCTATATTCAATTTATATTCTTTGCAGATAAAAAATATAGATGATTCGTTGAATACCAGTCTATCTATAATAAACGACGCTTTATATAGACTTGAGACTTTTCACATGATTCAAGATACCGAGGCAGATACGCTATTGAATGATGACGCAAGTATGAAAGAATGGATACAATTTTCACAAGCAAATTTATTGGAAGAGTGTACTACTCGTTTAAACATGGTATCATCTAATTATAATCATACACATATTACGGTGTAAGAATTTATAGAAATTACTATTGTACTTTATAATATTTAATATTTGTATACAGGGTCAACTTAAATCTGCTACATTAATTTGGACGAGGCACCTTCCTGATCTTGTAAAACATATATCTATACAAACTGTACAAAATATTTTTACAATTTTACCTGAAGATGTGGATCTATCATGTTTATGGCTTTGGCTTATTCATTTTATACCAACTTTATTATCCTTATTGCCTGATGCAATAAATGAGATTATGTCTTGGAGTTTAAAAAAATTAAAATATCTTGAGATATTTCATCATACTGTATGGCCAGAAATCGGCATTGAATTTGCTAAAAAGTTTATGAAATTGCTCAAATTTGAAGATAATCAGTTGGTATACTTTCATCAAGAGTACAGATATCAGAACTCTCTATTGAAACAGTTTATGGTTCTGTTTCAAGCTTTAACTGACATTCAACAACTGAAGATTGTTCACAGGTCAGTAATATCGTAATTTTAAATTAGTTTATTATAAATTAATGTTAATTATTTTTTAAATACACAATAGATTGAAAGTACCTGTTGACCTGTATATTGATTCACCCGTAGAAGCAATTTATATGTTGTTGGATAAAATACATCTTGACCAAATATCGAATTTTATAAATACGTTCCTAAAACAATATATATTTAATAATAATTTACAAAATGATACTGTCTTTTGTACGTATATTCAGGTTTGTATGATATTCTCTAATTTTACAAAGATATACTTGAAGACATAATACGTTGCTTATAATATTAAATTTTTATTAATAATTCTATAAATGTGTACATTGTTGTTTTATACTTTTAGAAAACCATAAAAAATTCGTATAGTTGGTGGTTTAATGAAGAAGCTACATGGGAGAAAAGAGTTGCTATTATAATAAGCCTTATACATAATATAGAGGTGAACATCAGAGATACACACTATTTGCGATGTTGTAATTTGTAATATAATATATAAAATATCTTTCTATTCATTTAATGCAATATTTATTTTATGTTACATGTTACACAACAGAAACGACTGGAGCAAACTTTAATAGTTTTAAGAAAAGCTCCAGTGCCCTGGAGTTCAACTATAGCTACTTTAGCAGAAACTGGCATTAATTATGACCATAGTTTGTCATTTAAAATTAAAATTGAGTGCGATTATGTTCCAACAAAACTTATTTTAAAGAAATATGGATATGCGACAATTGGTGTAAATAATGTTGGTATAAACTCTTGTATTATATGCCACAATATCTTTATATGTTGTTACTTTTAATAAATTATTTATATTTTAGAGATTGATATCACGCATAATAAAAGAAAATTACGATTCTATGATTAATGATATAGATGTATTAACTAAAGATAATCAACAGTTAAAACAAGATGCATTTTGTCAGTGCATAAACGCTCGATTAAATGAAAAGTATGTTGTGAAGAAAATGTATGTTGTAAACCATGTTTAAAACATTTATCTTATTTACTGCAAATACATTTGTTTTAGAAATCCCCAGAAAGCAATGGATGTATTACATTATTTGGAAAATAATATTGCCAGTGTTTTATATTGTTGTGAAGGAATTATTAATTATATTATTGCAGCTTTCTCTTTTCAAGTGATGGTCTTTGATACAGTATTAATTTTATAAAGATTTTTTTTTTAATTATAATTAATTATATATATAATATTTGCTTTTAGAATGCAACAACATCCTTGATTCACCATATGGAAATATTGGGTTGCTTAGAGTTTAAAATATGTAACTTATTAACACAATCAAATGTTTGTCCTTATCGTTGCAATAATATCATTAAAACGATAAAAGATTTAAAATCATTGTACGCACTGAAGAAACATTACGATATTGATATTTCTTTGAAAGATTATCACATGCAGAAGTCATTTGTGTTGCAAAACTATATCTCGAAATTACTTTCAAGTAAAATTTCTAATTAATAATTTAATTTATATATATATATAAATTGTGTATATTCAGTATATTATATAAACATAATATACTGAATGTACACACTTACTAAGAATTTACAATTTATTTATGATAATTTAATAGATATTAAGGAGAATGATTGGTCAGTAATGCATAAGACAATTATTAAAGTTGCCGAGTTGCTGGGATTAGAAAAGTCATATGCAACTTTATCTATGTTAGAACAGATGAAAAACTTAACAAATTTAAATGAACTAGAACATCTCATTGAGTAAATATTTTACATATTTTATACTTATAATTTTATACTTACATACACATATGTGTATATATGTATAAAGTTATTTATTTTATGTCTTTACAGTGATGATGATTTATGCTCAAATATAATGTCCAAAAAATTTGAGAATATACTAAAGATATGCTTATTAATATTGCAACATTCTACTGTAGACACCAACGTTGTAAAAGTTGTCAAAAGTTTAAGTATATCGGTATTAAATACTTGTCAAGACAGTATGTATCACAAATATATTGATAATTTAAATAGCAAAAAAAATATCATAAACTAATATATATATATATTTCAGATGATTTACAGTCTGCACTAATGGTTTACACTTGTGCTAATGTATGTCCAAATTTTCCTATTCAAGAATGTTTTGATACAAAACAAAGACTCGTACCACAATCTAATTGGAAGCTATATACTATTTATAAGGATCAAGCAATATTTTTAGATGAAAATTTGTTGCTTCTATTTAAAGATGCAATGTCTTTGCACTTGTATTATTCAAATCAAATTAATATTAATACAAATTGCAATGTACGTATTGTAAATTATATATAATTATATACATATTGTAAATTATATACGTATTGTAAATTTTATATATATACGCACGTTTTATTTATAAAAAATGCTTTACGATATATCAATATAATTTGTTTATGTAGGAAGAAATGGATCAACTATTATCTAATTTCTTGGAGAATACAAAGAAGATGCAACCTCAACACAACGATTATTCTTTACTGCAAATTTTTAAAACATTTTATTTCATGTACTATGGCACGTCTATAAGAAATGAAGAGAGATTAACAGAAATGAAATGTATATTATCACAGCTTTTGATAAATTTATTGAGAAAGTTGTGCACTGGGCGATCGTTCGATTTGCAGTTGGGACTGTCGGCTCTCTTTATGTTATCTGAACAAGAAGCATGCGATTGGCTTCATACAATTTCCGCCTCGTAAAAAAATTGATAAATTTTTTTTTTAGAAACTAATATAACAATGTGTAAAGATAAAAATTTATAGATTTCAGGCTGACCATATTCGGCATTGTACAATCTCAACTTTGGGATATGAATATTCGCGCTTGGGGCAAAATCGATCATTGATACAGACATTTGAGAATCACAAGCTACTGCATATTTGGGCACAACGACTGTCGGATTATTCGATAAATCCTAAAGGTACGATCGTGTGTATGTGCGTGCGTGCGTGCGTGTACATACATTTATTATTAAACGCAAATTTTGTTATATATATTAATGTATGTACATATTTAATGCAAAAATATTTTCAGAGGTTTTAATGAATAGTGCTTTAAACAAAAAAGAACTTTTACAGCAGATCATAAGCAGTAATAAAGAGAACATGATTTCCTTACTAAAGGATTATTGTTGTAGCTTTGGATTTAATTTCAATGATTGCCTTTTACTTTATTTACAAGTATTACTAAAAACGTGGAATCCAACACTAACCATTTCGAATATAAACGTAAATAAAGGTAAAAGATATAAGAGGAAATATATGTTTATAATTAACATTTATATATGTATTTTTATATATACATTATTTTTGCATGGTATCGAATGCGAATTTAATAATTAAATGACATTTTATAGAGTTACTCATCTGTAAAGAGGAAGTCGATGAATTAAGAAAGAAATGTAATGCAATTGTTGCGCAAATGCAAGATATATCTATGTTGAAGCAATGCATGTCTACATTATGGCAACATGTAAGTTATAAGAATATTTGATAGTATAATTTTTCTTATAAAAATTTTATATTTAAACAATATTTAAATCTAAAGACCATCAATGTACAAACGATAATTAATACGAATACGAAGCCTATAACAGTCTAGCTTGGATCTTTAATTATTTTATATTTAAATTTATATATATAGATTACATTTTACCATTATGAAGTATTCATTATATTAATGGATCTCATAGAAGATAAAGATATAGAAAAGAGGAATTATCTCTGCTTTTTGCAAAATTACACTCGGAGTGGGTAAGTTATAATTCCCCATATATTAATTTTAAGTTTAATCATACATATGTTAGGCCTCCTACATCAATGGAACATAATGAATGGATACAGCTTAATCCTGGACATAGTACGTTGCCGGCAATAGCACAATGGAGACTTCCATTCTTACTTAAAGTTGATATTTGGAAAATTATTAGTAAATATATTTTTTAAATAAATTTTTAATTAGATCATTTAAATGATTATTTGACTTAATTTTATATTTTATTAATTCTCTTATTATAGCTCCCGAGTTAAATTTAAAAACATATGACAAATGGCTTGACATCGCACCCGTACTTAATTTAGAAGCACATCTCATATGCTCGTTAGCTATTAAGGGTGAAATGGAAAAAGTATGGGCAAATAATTCTATTACATCGAAAAATACTACATGGTCGCTTTATTCAAAAAACACCACGTTGCTGAAAGATAGCAAGAAATGTATACAACAGCTGACAGACTCAGATGGATTCTATTATGGTACTGCAGCATTGTATTATATCGTAAATTATACACCTCCGGGTGCTGATCGCGTCGCTGCCGCGAAAGAATGTTACGAGTATGCTCAGCTAGCTGCACAAAATTCTACTAAGTTCAAAGAAGGAAAAGAGTTAGAAGTACGTATTCTTTGTTGGTAATCTTTGTGTAAATCGTGTCTCTATGCTATATGAAAAAGTAAGTGACTTCTGTGTGTATGTGTATTATGTGGCGTCTGCTTTCAGAAAATTAAATTTAAATATTTAACATTTACGTCTGAACACATTCTACGTACGTACGGATTGGAAAAGGATGAGTATCTTGCTCTAATCGAGTATCCATATAAGCTAGTGTATGCGTTGTATAATGACAAAAGTATACCATTACGATATCGAACCGCAACCAAATATAAACCAGATATTAACGCTGCCGTTAACGAGTTGGGTAAATTGTTCTCGTTGAATACGATAAAATTGCGTATGGATTTATTAGAAGAATGGCTACAATCCAATGCCAAATATACTGAATTGTCTCAAAGTTTTACAGAAACGTTTATAGTGTCAAAAGAATCTGATCAGAATACAGATTGTGAAGATAATTTACTTAGGTAATATTATCAGTATACATTTTTTTGATATCGTCAATTTCTAGATTAATAATTGATTCTAAAATGTACTTCTAGGATATGTTATATACTGGAATATGGAGATATGGATTTGTTTGCACAATTTCTTATAAACATAGGCTTTGGCAATCGTCATGGCGATACTGAATATAGTTACAACGTACGATATCGAGTATTTCAAATACTGCAGACTGTCGTAGATATTCCTACGTTGGAGAAATTGACTAAGCAAGATATATGTACTTTTAGGTAAACATAAATATAAATTATAATGAACTATGGCGTACTATATAGATTTATCTTACAATAAAACATTAATATTTTAATATTTCAGAAAATATATGAAATCATTACAGTACATTGGGAAATTGGAATCGTTAGGATTATGTTACAGTATTGATTCATTTGAAACATGTTGTAAACGCGAGCTTGTTCAAATCTTATGGAGTAGTCAGCGTCACGTATCCTATGCTCTCTCTGTTATAGCACAGATTTGCATCGAGTTTGAAATCAATGATATCCTATTTTGGGATGATACTTTGACTCAGATGAGGAAATTGCGAATGGTTATAATGATTATAATGTCAGATATACTCTTTTGTTTCGAAAATTATATTAAATGTGTATTTTTAGATAAGTGACTTAAAAAAAGTTTTATTACAATTACGAGATAAAAATGTCATTGTAAATTGTAATGGTTATAAAACGGGATGGCAATTGATTATCTCTGAACCGTTTAGCAAGATGGACATAAATCCAAATTTGGAGCAAATTGATAATTGTATAGAAGCGGTTTGTCTGCTATATTCATGTCCTGTGACACACGAATTGGACTTCACCGCAATCGTGAGAGATTGTTTTCAAAGTCAACAGGCGCACTTAGCTGCCGCACTTTTACCATTTTTAAATGATGTTGAAAATAAATTCGTTTTAGAGGTAATTAAGTCAATATTTGAATATAATATGAGACAGAGAGAAACAGAAGATAACATTAATCTTTTTTTAGACCATTAATCAAAAATGTCAAATTGAAAAACTCATAGAAGATTTAAATCATTTATCTTCAAGAGGAGTACTCACGATTACACATGTAAGTTGTAATAATTTTTATTTATACAAAACATAAACTAATATTTATTATTTTTATGTGTAGAGTCTCGCTATGGTACAAAAATCTATACCATAAAGAACAAAAAACGAATAAAATCTTTGTATCAGATTAACTGGAAGATTAACCTATTTATTAAGTCAAATTGTATAACACTATATTTATAACATATAAGAAATAAATTTCCTTTTAACTTTTGCTTTGTACATAAATTTCCTTTTTATTTTTGCTTTGTACATAAAATCGTAGCACAAAACTTCTATTTCAAATCGTTGTTATGTGAATTACGTCTTGTGTTTGATCAATGAAGTTCTGCGACCATCTTTGCAGACCACTTATTGCACTTTCATAATTTATATTTCTCTTACAATCATGGTGAAATTAACAACAGACATCGTCGAAAAAAAGTGTTCTCAAATATTAACTAGTAAATCACTCAGTAAAACAATAAAAAAAGATGAATTGTGGAAATTAACTCATTTACATATGAATGACATGTTTATCAGCAGTATTGTAAGTTACATCAATTTAATAAATTATAAAATTTATTTACTCTTAATATTAATATCTTTATTTACTCTTATATCAAATTTCACAATTTTATTTAGGACAACATCGCTATTTACAAAAGCTTAAAAGTCCTATATCTTCAGAATAATAACATATCAAAAATAAAGAATCTACATTTTGCATGTAGTTTGACACATCTGTATCTACAACATAATACCATAACGAAAATGGAAAATTTGGAATCTCTACAGAATCTCCAAAAACTTTATCTAGGATACAATAATATTGTTGTAATTGAAGGATTAGAAAATACAAAGAAATTACAAGAATTGCACATCGAGAGTCAGAAAATACCACTCGGTGAATCATTATGCTTCGACCCACGCAGCGCTTTTATTTTATCTGTAAGAGTATCATCTGAATTTCAGATTTTTATTATACAGATTAAGTTGAAATTTGTTTATTATAAACGTTTTTTCTCCCAGATGTGTCTAAGAGTTCTTAATATTTCTGATAACAAAATGATATCCTTGAGAAATCTAATAAGATTTCAAGAATTACACACGTTGGATGCAAAAAATAATCTGATCGATAATATGGATGATTTAACTGCGACAATAAGTACATTGATTTCTTTAAAAGATTTATCTTTACAAGGTAATCCAGTTACGCGATCTTACAGATATAAGGAAAATTTAATTGCAAACAGCGTTTCGCTAGGTAAAGTTACACATTCAATATTTGTTGTCATTTATTCATGTTTTATTACTCAATTATACTTTAATTTTATATCAGCTAATCTCGATGGAAAAATTGTAACCGACATATGTCGAAATTTTATGAAAAGATTTAAAATGGAGAAACACAATCAACGTACAAGAAATGCAACTAAAACTCAATTAGGAGATGATATAACAAGTATATCAATAATGATTTTTATTTCCTTTAGTAGATAGAAACATAGTTATAGACAGAAAATTTATCTTAGGTTCTCTGAACTTGCCACCAGCCTTCAAAAGATCTATCTCGAGAGCAATTTTTCAGCATCCTGGACCACATTTATCTATAACAATTACCCCTGGATTTCTTTCGGTAGGAAGCCAGCTACATGCGTTCCCACTTTGGACGTCAGGTAAAAAAAAATAAAGATTATTACTTCCATTGCTATATTAACAAGATATTTTTATATGTAATATTAGCATCTGGCATCAGAAGTACCAAGGATAATCATGTAATACCGAGACCATTTTGGAGTAATGTAATTAAAAACAAGGAAATCCGTTTAACTCGCTCACATAATAATAAAACAATTGCATTACCCCTTATTTAATTCTTTTTAACAATCTGCTAACAACTATTATTATATTTAATTATTATTTTAAATTGAATCAATACAGAACGTAAATAAATTATAACTGTAAATGACTAAAATTTTTATATAGTAATAATATATAAAATAAAATGCATGTATGCAATAAAGACATAAACTTGAGAATCACAATATTATTTTTATAGCACTGTTCAGCAATAGAAGGCTACACATTTTCATTACTTTCATATATGCTATTTAAGAATTTCTTTTATAAATGTAAATAGAATTTACTCTATGTGTAATGTGTACATATTAAATCATGATAGTTCCAGGAAAATGTCAAATAAATTCACATAAATTCGCGATGTCACATGATACAAAAATTGTAAATGCAATAAAAATATAATTGTTATAAGCTGGGTAACTATTACATATTAAATATGCAGTATATTTCCAATAAACTAAACAACAAAAATGCTAAATTATAAACTTACGAACTATATTTGTACGCTGCTTGAAGATCTGTACATTATTTGTAAAATTCCTCTTATATTTTATATGATTATTTATTCATGCAAATGTAGTAAATCGTTTTATAAAATTAATAAAGCAAGATCTGTATTCTCGAAATCAAAGAAACCTTTCTTTTACTGGCTTCAAATATTGCTATTACATAAACATACATGTGGTCTCCAAGCAGACTTAAAATATAAAAGTATATTCTTAAAAAATAGGAATAAATAACAAAAATAATACAAATATTTATATGACGTACATATATGTTAGTCACTAAGCATGGAATGTTAGAATATAAAATAAACATCTCTTCGCTTATACGCGATAATGAAAAAGATATATACCGAAAAATAATATAGAACTTATTAAAATGTTATTCACAAAATCTTGAGACACCTGTTTTACAATATGTAAAAAAAAAAACAAGTAATCATTTCACTAGCAATCATTACGAATTATATAAAATTATAACGTCGTCTTGAGCGTATCTAAAAATATTATCTTATATTATGAAATAGTACGAGATGTAATGAACCAATATATATTTCGTGGCACACAAACAACTCGTCATTTATCGTATATGTATACGCATAGTAGAGCAGGTGATCAGTATTATAAAATTTCTTACACAATACAAATAGGCTATGATTACCCTTTGTTTCTTACGATAGAGTATAAAAAATGTTACTCCATTTAAATAAAATTTGGAGAGAAATAATCGATTCTAGAGAACTACATATGTTAAATAAAAAAAGACTATTCAATATTTTGTATATACGATAAATACTTTCTGTAATCTGTAATAACAAAAAACATTAGGCAAGAATACAAACTATAAGAATACATTCTTCCAAAAATTCTTAGAAATATTAATATACTATACATTTTGTAAAAATGTAATGTATAAAAATAAAAAAACAAGAATCTTCCCCCTCGTTTGAAGTTTATACGTATCTTTTATTTAAACAAAATATTTATATGTATACATATGTTATAAAAAATAAAATCTAAAATACTGTTTATAATAATTAATAAAAAATATAGTAAAAAACAAAGGTATAAAACAAGCCTAGTAAAATACGATATATTTATATATTGAATTTTTCATTTAGAATAATTTGCATAAATTAAAATGTATACAAAGCTCAAAATTAATATGCACCATTCTTTTCAGTGAAAATTTATATGTTACATTTATTTTGTTTATTTAAATCGTAATGTGAATGGTAATGGAACATAAATCACTTAACTAATAAATGTTTACGTAAAATTGTAGTTCTATAACTACATAAGCTACAGCTAAATTTAGACATATACGCTGACCAATGCACATCACTGCTCTTGGTATAAAGTTTTATACATACGTACATACATACATACACACATACACGCACGCCATATATATTTATATATACATATATATGAATCTATTTGCATTAATCGTTATAATGGAAATATAATAAAATCTACATAGTTTTTCTATCAATATAGTATATCTTTTATGATTATACATATAGCTGCAACATGAAAAACAATACAATATTATTACCAACGTAATTTCTGTACTTTATCTATATTATCTTTTAGATATACGAAACTATGATGATTTTAAATATTTCTCGATTAGCAATATACACATATATGTATGTATATATATATATATATGTATCATATGTAACATATTCTGACTTTGTCACATGTTATGTAATAACCAGGGCTTGAATAGAGTTAGTTCGCGCGTTGCACGCCGAGCAACTATTGCGTGTGAATAAAATTGTACATCAGCCGAGATTGTTAATTCAATGTATCTGTCTTTAGCAAGCACTCGATACACTTGCGCATGGTAAGTGCTCGACGTACGACACGGGAACTCGCACGAACATTCCCTGCTAATAAATCGTGCCCTATAATAACTGTTTGGAAAGCAAATATCGATTTCACAGATAGTCAAACTATACATATACCTTTTGCTGAGAAGCTTACCTTATTGCATTTAAGCATTACAACAGACAATATGTAGTAGAACTATTCTGCTTAACTTTATTTAATCTTACTTTCTATTGATTCATCTTTGAGAAGTCTTTCTTAACGGATCCATAAATTATGTTTTATATATATATGTAACCCATTGCAACGTATTTTACTTGTTTCTTTATATTATGAATCAGAATATTTTAGTTATTGTTTAACAACTTGTAATATATCACACTCAAAGATGAAACAGAGAAAGTAATGATTTTTCGTTAGAGGAGAAAGGATTGCGATAAGTCGAGAGGATTTTTAATAAATTTGGTTGATTATAAATATTTCGACATTAGTATTTCAATTTGGAATATTCTGGTATTATATTTTACTGCAAATTTTTAATAATTGTTGCATATATTAGTTATTTCTTGTATGACTGTCATCATTTCTCTTTTTATTGTTATGAAATACTCAATTATCAAAACTTCAAGTTGCAGGGCACCCCGTCTCTTTTATATATATATAATTATCGCCATAACTATGTATAAATAGTTTATCCATTTGTTTACATACATACATAGCTATGTATACATTATATAATATTTATTTATTAATTTATTTATGTTCCGTGTATATAAATACACTTTCTTAATTATTTTAATATGAACACTGTAGTTTATAGTACGAGGTACCATTCTTTCTTCAAAAAGATTTCACCAATATTTTATTCCTTTCAACTATCAAACTCAATTTTTAATCGAGTTTAAGCTCGAATTATCGGGCAAGCCGTATAGAAATTTTTTTTTATTTTTACGAGAAAAGGTATAAAGCTTTATTGTTCCTTGCTTTATATTTATATTAACCTCATAAAATATTTAAAGACTTATCGACATTTTTTATAGCATATTTCAGTCTGGTTCTTTTTATGATGCATTAGAAGACAATGCATCCAATATATGTATATATATATTATATATTGTAAATACCAATTTGTTTTTCTAGTCTCTAAGATTACGAATTGTTTGTGTTATTTATAGACCAAGAGTGCCCTTTTATGTATGTATGAAGGACAATCCTCCATTAATTACTGCGCCGTTTGTTGCTGTATTTCTATCTTTTCCACTGTCATATCTGGATTCATAGCAGTGGCCTCCTGTATTGCTTCTGCTAAAGCTCGATCGTGATCAATTGGATCACCATCCGATTGTATCGTTATTTTTTGTTCCACTCGCGTCTCAACTACACCATCTTTTTCCGTTTTATACTGTAAGATAAATAGTATTTATTGAAAAATTATAGACAGCCGCAAATAATATTGAGACTTGATTAGCATATAATAATACCAACCGTAATAGTTTCAACAGTACGGGTTTTACTAGATATGGTTTGGGTACTGACTATTTCTCCTGTGGCACTATAGTTACCATCTTCACTTTCAAGAGCTACCTTTCTTGTTTCGGTTGCCACTACAGGTACTGTAGTTGTCGTTGTTACATTACTATCCGGTTCTCCCGTGTAAACGTGCTTCTCAGTTGCGATCACGGCTGGGTCTCCCTGTATCAAAATTTATTCAAAATTCTTTTACTTAAAGACTTAATAATATATAGAAGATAAAAATGATAAAGTAAGATATAAAATTAATAGATGTTAAAACTTAATAAAAGAATAAGAATAATTTAAAAGACCAATTATCTCTTAAATTGATATATATCCATATATTGAGATATATCCATCTATATTTACACGAGAAAGGGGGAAGAGAGGAAGAGGGAGAAGGAGAGATTACATCTGCATTTTTAATAACTATATGTATAGGTCTTCAACGAAATGCATTAAAGTTGTCGAACGTTTTCTGTAAGCATTTCTGTACAATGTACAAAACAATGCAAAATAACAGTTTTTTAAATATGTAATATGGGTAAAAACACATATCTTAATACAAATGCATCGTTTTAGATTAGCTGGCGAGGCAAAATGCTAAAATTTTTCGTGTGTATGAATACCTGTTGCCCGTTGTTCTAAATATGCGTTATCTTCTGCTCCATATTAATAGAAGAAAGTTTTGTGGCTGTTATTCAATAGATTACCTGATAGTATTGATTGTAGAAAGCTTGTTGGTCATCGTCAAGATCAATTGGTGTACCCGAATCTCCACTGCTTGAACTCGATGTACTTAGCCTTCGTGAGAACAGCTACGCCATGCAACGTGTTAACCAAGCCAGCAAAATTATTTACAAGAAATAAAAATAAAAAAATTCCATATGATATGAATAAATGATACTAATTATTATTGTTAAATTAGTAATATTACAATCATATTTAATTGATTTAGTCATAAATGAATAATATTTTAATGTAAACATAATTTATGCATATATAATATGAAATGTTAAGATAAAATACGACCTTCTAAACTGAAAACCTTCACATACACAATACTACCATTATTTATACATATATTAATGTACATAATTGTTTATACTTATATGAAGTGATCTTTTATATGTGCTACAATTATATGCGAAATGATGATATGTATACAGTACAGT